CCTTCAGGTGTGTCTCCACTGTGGGGTGGCAGGGTCAGCCTTGGCAGCAGAGGCGTGGGAGGAGCGCAGGAGGAGCAGGATTTCCTCTCTGGGCTCTGGGGACCACGGCCCAGGCTTCTGCAGTCCCCAGCTCTCTAGCATGGCCTCGCAGTGGCCTCCTGTGGTGTTTCTCTGGTGATTACTCCTGCAGAACCTATTGACCAGCAGTGTCCAACAGCCAGAAACTTCTTAGGAGTGCTTCAAAGCACGTTCCGAGTCATGGTCCCTCCCGGTACCCCATGACAACCTTATAACGGAGGTATTAAGGTTCTGTCCCCTTTACACAAGAGGAGACCAAAGTTCAAATGGTTACTGACTTACTCAGGACATGAAGCTTGTAAGTGGTATCAGTACATCTGGCAAAACAACGTTGGCCCTTCCCAGGGACCGGGATTAAAGCTGACCATGAAAAGGTCAAAAGCCAACAGAAAATCTGAGTTGAAATGAAACTTTTTGCTCCATTAAAGGAATTCCCACCAGGAATCAACTAAGGGACATCTTTAAGGGCAAGTGAACTTCCAAAGACCTTAAACTTTCTAGATCTCTGCTTTGCTAGAAGAGAGAAGCTGGCCTTGGACTGTCCTAGGCCAGAGCCTGGGCCTTCCCTTCAAACCCTGTCTGAGCACTGCGCAGGCTGCTGGCTCCAAAACCTCAAAGGCAGAGCAGCTGTAATGACTGGCAGGGTAAGGGGAGTAACGTGCCGCACCATTCTCTTACTCAGGCTAACCCAACAACTGGTGGTTCAAAGGGGAGCTGCAAAACTGTGGCCAAAAATCAAAACACTGAAATTTAAAAAGTACACAAAGAAAATGAAGAGCCAAGAACCTCAAAACTGAATTAAATTAATATTCTTATCTAAAACAAGGACGCAGGATACAAAACTGCACCTACACATACACACCCATATATTCGAATACTGAAAATGATTAAAAACCAAGCCAAGTGTTTGTTTACTGTCGCCTGCACAGATAGCAATGATTATTTTTCTTTCTACTTTTCAGAGTTTTTAAAAATTACTCTATAATAAAATGTTTATAATTTAAAAAACTCTTTATTTTTAACCTCAAAATAAGTCACAGTTTTAAATGGCATTTATATTTCTACTGAGTATTTTAGAATATTTTAACACTCAAACCTTGTAAAACTGAACATAAAAAAGGGCAACAACGTAAGCTGGTCTGAAAGCCAACTGAGCCAACAACTCATCAGTAACTGTGAATCAGAACACAGTTCTGGGAAGGAAAGGTTTTAAGATGTCCCAGAAACAAGAAAACTCCAGACATGGACAAATGACAGTTTACTTTTACCAAACAGCTTATCAAATGATCTTTATGTAAATACTGCGAATGTTACAAAGCCCCTCAAAAATCCCAACATTATTTTTACAGATTAGAAAAGAATAAAAGCCAAAAACAACACCAATAACTCAATTAAAATAACTCATGCTTGTGTTTACACAAAATTTGATGAGCATAATATATTCGTCACACCACTGTAATTATTCTCTGAAAATAATACTCTAAATATTATTTTGACAATGTAATTATAGTTCTTACCTCAAAAGTGGTTAACAAAAAACTGGCACAGATACCCTGCTAAAATTCTACCAAGAACAAGGTTCTCACAGAGAAATAGTCAAAAAATAGTGCACGAACTTCATTAGGAACCAGAATACCTTTTAAAAGACTTATAATAGGTTTGAACTAACATACTGTGAATATTTTTTAAGTTTCATTGTTGAATCCAAATTTCATTGTTGAATTCCAAATTAAATTCAGCAGCCTCATTAGCTGCCTTTTTCAAGAAAGCAGTGAGAAAACTTAGCTTGTTTTCCTTCTTGCCGCAACTCTTGCCTGTAACAAGTTGGAACAGCCTTCCAACTCTGCCTATAACAAGTTCTCCACCTGACACTGACCCAACTGAAGTATTAAATAAACAGATGTTCCATACAGACTGGAAGACACAGTACCATTAACATGGCAATTCTCCCCAAAAGGATCTATAAATTCCACATAATTCCTAGTATCCACAATATATAAGTAACTCTTATAATCTGACAAGAAAAAGACAAACAGCCCAATTAAAAACTGGGCCAAGGACTTGAATAGACATTTCCCCAGTGAGGACTGATGACCAACAAGCACATGAGTTCTTCAATATCACTGATCATTAGGAAAATGCAAATCGAAACCACTTCATACCCACCAGGATGGATATAATCTAAATAAAGGGAAATAAACTTTGGCAAGGATGTGGAGAAACTGGAACTTTGTAAATTGCTGGAGAAAATGGTTTGGCTGCTCCGAAAAGGTCTGACAGTTTCTTAAAAATGTAAATCTAAAGTTAACCCAGCAATTCCACTGCTAGGTATCTACCCACAGGAATGGAAGGCAGGTACATGCACATGCATGTATACAGGTGGCTCAATAGCTAAATGGTGGAAACAGCCTGGATACCACCATGAACGAATGGATGGAGAAAGTGGGTATGAGCATTCAGTGCTGTCATTCAGACATTAAAAATAAAGTTCCGATGCACACAACAACATGAATGAACCTCAAAACACATCATGCTAAGTGAAAAAGCCAGACACAAAAGATCTCATAATTTTATGATTCCATTTACAGGAAATAGCCAAAACAGGTAAATCCATAGACAAAACGCAGAACGGTAGTTGCCAGGGACTCAGGGTAGTAGGAAATGGAATACGGCTGCTCAGAGGGCACAGGGTTACCTTCTGGGGCCATGAAAATATCTGCAAGATAGAAGTGGTAGACGTACAACCCTGTGAAAGCACTAAATGCCGCTCAGTTTAGAATGGTTATTTTTATCTTATGTGCATCTCATGTCAATAAAAAAATAAGCTGATATAACTGTAGCTACCTAAATTGTGTACAACCTTCATACACCTAACATAAAACAGGTCTGTAAAGATCCAGTCTCTCTCTAACCAGTGCATATCAGTGACCAGTCAAGCTCACAACCCAACAACCAATGTACTCATCAATTTCAAACGAGTTCATAAAACGTTTCAGAAATCGGCTCCTTTAAATTTTTGGTAGATCATCTGCTTGCTTCAGTGAAGAGAAATTAATCCTGCGAGATGAAATACTCTATCATGTATTGTAAACACTAAGTAACAAATATTTGCAGCAGGTGTGGGAGCGCAGAGAAAGGGATGATGGACCGAGGGCACGTGGAGCCCAGGGAAGGTATCTGAAGATGGAAAACGGGGCTGTATCATACTGATGAAAACGAGAAAAGAGGGAGAGCTGATGAGACGGAGAGAAAGGGGGTAATTTCAGGGGAAGATCACTGGTTAATCACAGTGTCTGCTCGTGGGGCTCTTCCTCCTGGCATCTCATGTCAGGGCACGTCGTCACCAGAGAAATCTGCTGCCCACCATGGCTCCGGCGCTGCCAGGGACACACTACCTACCACATTTGTATTTTTCAGCAATTACAGAGCATAGTCTGTCCTGAGCTCTTTCTGCACAAACTTACCACACACAGACTTCAGAAATAGCTGCCTTTCCACCCAAGGGAGTGAAATCTGTCTTGCTGATTTTTAATCCCCCAAGTTGAGCACCAAGGCTTCCGTTTTATTATAAAATAAAGCAACAAAAATAACTTTCACTTTAAAACTAAATCCTACATCCTATCAATTTTTTGAGAGTATTTGAAAAATTACTGCTGTTTTTAAAAAATTGAGAACAATCTGTAAATTCTTAGATAACTTAATTCAAAAAACAATTACAATTTCCCAAAGGAAGAATTCTAAATCAAACAGAAAGACGCAGGAACTTGAACACATGAGCTTTAAATAAAAACACTAAGAAATCACAGAATAGAATGAGAGTTAAACCAAGCCAGGCAGCACCTCTAACAGCTAATTTAGCCTATTTCACTCGGTGCCTCAGTTTCCCTGCCTGTAGAGAGAGACCATGACCTCCGTTCTCTATCCACCTTCCCACAGCAGTGTGCACATTCACATGAAGGTAAGTATGCCTCACTTTACATAAGTATATGCATTAAGAATTGTACATAAATCAATTTATAAATCAAATCATTTTAAATACAGCTGAAGAGTTCTCACTTAAAGAAGTATTTGTTGAATTATGATATAATTTCTTTACTAAAAAGAATTTTTATTTTTAACTACATCTACTTAAAAGCCAGATATTTATATTGAGATTTTCTTAAGTGACTTAAGTTTACCAATAAAGTATTTCATTATTTGGATAAAGATATATTAAAATTCCATGTTTTTAAAATATGATGTTTAGGTAATAACCCTTGTTCAGCGAAGTGTTAATGCTAATAGTTCAAGAATCAAAAACATTCAAAAAAAGTCTAGAAAAGTTTCCTGGCCTTGAAAATAAAAAGCTTGGTTTTTCTCTTAATCCCACATCAGCAGCCACTAACCATCAGCGCTAACTTGCCATTCTGTCACTATACATTTATTTCTTTAACACATTTAGCAACTGGTTCCCCTCAATGGAACACAAGCATCCTGAGGGCAGGGATTTTTTGGTCACTGTTAGGATCACACCCGACACCTAAATCAGCACCTGCATAACAAAGTACCACGGCCGGGGGCCGGGGGCCAGGGGCCTTAAACTATCCAAATGCCTGTCTCACCAGCCAGTGTGGCTCAGTGGCTGAGCATCAACCTATGCTTGCACCCCCCTGCCCCCCCAACTGGGGATAGAGCCTGAAATCCAGGCGTTGTCCTGACTGAGAATCAAACCATGACCTCCTGGTTCACAGGTCGACACTCAACCACTGAGCCAAACCGGCCAGGCTGCTGCAACATTTTTACTGATAATTCTTCAATATCACTAATAAAGTTTCTCTATATCGTCACAGAACATTTGCTTTAATGAAGGATGAATACTCAGTGTTTAGTTTCTAAACCATTTTCGAAGATATAAATAATTCATAACATGTGCTGCAGGTTACCTGGCAGCAGGACTTCCGGTTCCACTCGCAGTTCCCGGAAGAGAAGAATCAAGTCCACCGCGACACCGACTGCATCCAAGTTCCTGTGTCACATTGTTCAATGAGACAAAGTTAGACACCCTCCGAGGCCTGCATTTCAAGTGATCCAGAAACAGAGCTGAGCCTGCTGCTGACAGTTCCTGTGGCCAGCACAATAACAGCCTCCAAAGGTGCTCCATCATGCTCCCCAAGCCTGTGAACAGGTGACCCCACAGGGCAAAGGGGACTTCAGGGTCAGGAGCATATTAAGGGTCCAGAGATGGGGAGTGTGTCCTGGGGTCTCAGGGGGGACAATGGGATCAGGTCTTCCTCTGTAGAAATGGAAAAGTAGCAGCGTACTATTTCTTGAGTTTGTTCTCAGGGTTTCCCAAGACACTGCAGGTCAAGCCCTTGGGTTACAAAGCCTGGTGCTTAGGGTTGGTCCTGGGAATGCTCGCTTCCTTCCCTGTGGGCTGGCAAAGCGCTAAGATGACCCTGCCAGCCCACAGCTAGCTTCTGCTCTGAGCTCTCCTCCCCACCCCCATCACACTAGAGAGGCTCCCTGCCTAGAAACAAAAGAAACCTGCCTCTGGCCCACTCTTCCAGCACATAACTAGTTATGTTTTTAAATGTTGACTATTATTATCAAGATTATAATTGATTCTATCCATTTATCTGCAAATGGATGGCAGGTTTGGTTTAGAATTAAAGTTAAACAACTCTAGCTTTTTTCCCCTCTCCTTTCATCTTAAAAATGTCATTAATCATACAGAAGCCTCAGGTATCAGAACTGTCTAAGCAGCGCAGGGCGTCCCTCCAGTGGCTCTGGCCAGCCCGACTTTGCCCATCACGGCAGTGACAGGGAGGCCTGGAGGCTCGTCTATGTTCAAGTTCAGGAAAGAAAGGTGAGCATGCTCTTTGTGGCTTCTGACTTCATCTCAAGTAAGAATTTTTAATAAAAAGCAGATTCCATAAAATCAAAGAGAAAAGATGCTCAGCTCTGGGAGGAGAGAGCAGCATGTCAAAGGACACACATAGCACTGAGCAGTTCTGCTCATCTTTTAACCATGTTACAAAAGTGCAGTGGGCAACTTCACAATCTTCAGGAAACCTTAAGATAAGTCACCTGAGACATTTACAAAACGTGCTCCTTGTTCAAAGTAAGCACAAGGGCCACTGATTAAAACACCTGAAACGAATAAAAACATTTACAACTGAGATAAGAGAGGTCGGAGCTACACATGCACTTAAGAGTCTAGGATCAACGACTCAAAATTAGGTTCTAATCACTGCGCTATGTATAAAACCAAGTACCTCGAAACATATCAATACAAATGAGAAACCTAAATAACCCCTAATGCTAAACAGACTCTGGCAGGTTACACCATTCTGTACTCAGAGTACTTCTCCCCTGGATGACAAGTGAGGCCCAAATGATTCCTAATGGACAGACCAGTAGGAGAGAAGCGGCAATCACAGACACAGAGGGGAGAGAGAGGCACACATGAAGGGACAAAGGACACTACCTGATGGCGTTCTGGTTCACACAACACTCAATGCAAGCATTTCGGAGGCACCGGAAGCATTCTGTTATTAACTGCAGGCTGGACACCAGGTGTTCCACTCGGGACGGGTCCCTGCAGGCCAGCTCGACAGCATGAGAAGACCTCTTTAAGATATCCAGGACTCTCTGGAAGATAGTCCGAGGCGCAGTCTCTCTGAAAAGAGACAAAACCATCACAGGCCAGAAAAAATAGCCTAATTCCAAATGTCCTGTTGGGAACACGGCCTGCACTTGTTTCTGTGGGGAGATGGGCTAGGCCTGTCTGTTCCAGCTCCTTAACTTACAACACAAAATAATTACATACATTGAGTGCTACATTCCAGGCACCGTCTTCACTAACCTTTGCATGTGTTATCTCATTGAACCTTTGTATTAAACCAACACTGTCCCCTCCATTTTTAAGGTAACTGAAGTAGAGGGGGTTTAAGCAATGTGCCCATGTCCTCAGGCAATTACTGGCAGAGCCACAGCTCCAACTGCAGCAGTCTGACCTCTGTACCTCCACCCCACAGGCTAACCCTAACCCCACTCTCAGGGGACTATTCGTGCTTTTGGATCTGCCCTTAACCCAAACGGAACAGCTACATTTTATGTTCCAGACAGAGAACATAGCCATGTCCTGTCACCTAAAGTACAATTATGAGAAACAATATTGATGAAGGACTGACTGCCTGGGAGGCAAATATACCATCCATTCTCTAGATACAGAGAAGCTGGCAACGCCTGCTCTGAGTGAGAGTGTATGTGTGTGAGCGTGCACGTATTCATTCAACTACTTGGGGTGGGGGCCGGGCAGAGGGAGAGAAACAAAGAGAGCACTTCTCAGCCGAGTGTGCGCGCCCAGGGGAGAAATGAACCTGTGCTGTCCCCTTGGGCACCTCAGTTCCCACATGCCTCTCATGCCAGGAGCGGGGCCTACACTGACTGTCATTCCAAAGCTATGAAGGTAAGAATTTTTTTGTACAACACAGCACCTAAATGCAAGCCAACTTCCTCATTCCATGCCTCCCTAGAGAAACAGCGCTCTGTTTCACTGTTAGAAGAAATATAGCTGTGCAGGACGACAAGATTCTCGCAGGTTAATTCTGACCAGGTGAATGTTCTGCTCTCATCCTGCAATCACAGCACCCTATCATGTCATCCTGGATTCAGCCAGACCATCAGGAGCTGCACATTTATGCAGAACCATGGGCCATGAAGCACCTCATGTTGCTGGGCTTGCTCAGTGCTGGAAAACACTGCATATCCCTCCTCTCTGCCCAGAAGAGACGCTCCCTCCTTTAGCTTCAGGACCAGGAGCACTTGTACTCCAAGTGCAGTGTCTGCATCTTCTGGACAGCTAACATAGATCACACTGATGACCTCTGCCTGGGCCTGTAACATGTCTGCAGCCAAATCTCATCTTCAACACTGAATCCCATGGCATGACTCTGAGTACTAATCTTACTTTCTCCTCACCAATCTCCTCGCTTATCTTTTATTTTATTTAACTGTACTTATTTTTTTAGGTACTTCAAATTTGTTTTTGGAAAGAGGCATAGTGTAAATCAATCAATTGAAAATTGAGAAATCACACAAAGAATAAAGTTAATTTGCGCATATCTCCTCAGTCAGCCCTCTCTAAGTGTGGATCCTGAAGCTCTGACTCAGCGTTGCATGGAGTGGTCAATAATGACAGGAAAAGTTGAAGGTTACAGCACTGATCCTGCCTCCACAACTGTGAAGAACAATGAGGCATGTGAGCCATTCTCCGTGGCAACACGCCATAAAAGAACATTCACTAACTTTCTCAAGAAAGCTTTAAGGAATACTAAATACATGGCAGGCATTAATATGCTAAGAAAATACCCAAGAGTTTAAAACATTTCAAGGAATGCCAAGAGTGATCACGATTTCTACAACAAAGAATAAATTTATTATTTAATCTCACAGTCAAATAAAAGTAGAGCTCTACAACTTAAGTAATCTACAGTTACGCCTCTTTTTTCTAATAAAATGGCTAAAAGAATGTGTATTTACACCTGTGATAAAGCCAATTATGTCTTCTCTCAGCTGGTCCTTTGTAAACTGCCTCTTGCACTGGCATCATCTTCCTGCTGTGAATGGTCTTCCCTGATGTCACTCTCTGAAATCTTAACATTCAGTTTACTCAGAACTGCTCTCTACCCGGCCGGGCGTGGCTCAGCGGTTGAGCGTCGACCTAGGATCCAGGCGATCAGGGTTCGATTCCTGGTCAGGGCACATGCCCGGGTTGCGGGCTGCAGCCGATCAATGACTCTCTCATCATTGATGTTTCTATCTCTCTCTCTCCCTCTCCTTTCCCCTCTCTGAAATCAATAAAGATATATTTTAAAAAAAAGAATTGCTATCTAGCACAGCAAAAGCTTTGGAATCAAACTATAGGAGACTAAACAGATAGGAGAAGAGCACTGTTCTTAGGAAAATTTGAAAACTGATATTCTAACAACAGAACAATTAGTTCATGAACTGTCCTCTGAATGATTCCCAATGTCATTCCCAATGTTAATTTGTCATTTATGTACCATGCCTTTTTCCTTCTATTTTTATAAAATCCTCACCCAAAAATATATTTACTGATTTTAGAGAGGGAGAGGAAGGGAAAGAAATATCGATGTGAAAGAGAAACATCCATCAGTTGCCTCCCATACACGCCCTGACCGGGGATTGAACCCACAACCTTTTGGTGTACAGGACGACACTCCAACCAATGAGCCACCCAGCCGGGGCCATGCCCTTTCCTTTATTCATTACACTCTCAACCAAAAGAAAAATGTTTAACTAAGCTAGTCAATCAAAATATTCCTGAAATCCAAATAACTATTAATAGACACTAAAGAGTAATCATGGCAGCGTCTGTCTGGACACAATAATTCACAGTTGTTGTACACACAGAAAATAAACCAGAACGCTGATCACTGCTATTTCCTGCCCCCAGGCTGCGCAGCCATGGATTCCTGAACACACACCAAGCACCTGCAATCCTGTGTCTGCTCAAACATACACCCTCCACCAGAATGTGCTCTCCACACCTTCCCTACCCAGTTCTCAGCTTGAAGATTCTGTGTCCCCTCCACTCTTGGCCCCGGGAAAACTCCCCGACTAGTCCGAGTGAACCAGCTCCCATCTCCATGCTCCACTGGCACTCAGTCCAGAAGACTGGAATAATCCAACATTAGATTATACTCACCTCCTGTCTGCCTCCCCAGCCACCCCATAAATCCCCCACAAATACAGATCATCTTATTTTTTTCTCTATCTCTAGGGCCCAGAACTGGCATTCACTAATTGTATCTGTTCGATTCAGGTTTAAAATAGTGATGAGACTATTTGCATACAGACTGGAATGCTGGCTCACAGATTAAGTGATCCAAACACTTCCTGAGCACGTGCTCTGAGCCAAGCAGCAGGCCTGCCGTGTGCAGAGGAATTAGTGCACTTCCAGCAGCAAAAGAGAACTACTGAGGCACCAGCTCAGTCCTTCCATTTCCATTAAGAAATCCACATATCCTGGACTCAAAACCATGAAAAATGTCATATGTTAAGAGGTAGGTATCTTCTGATTGACATTTAACAAACATCTAATTTCTCTTCCTCACTACATGGTAAATGGATAAGTTTAAAGGGGGAGGGAGCTGTAACCTGATTAACTATATTTTAAATTTCTTGAGAGCAGAGACTATGTCTTAGATGTCTGTGTCCCTCTATGAAGAGTTGGGGGAGCGAGGTGTGTGTGTGGGGGAATACGGCCATTTCATCTAGAGCCATGTAATAAATAGCTATGGATTTATTCACAATGCTTTTATACCATAAAACCCATTAACACGTTCCCCAGATGAGGAAAAGGAAGCTTTTGCTCACTAGCAGTAAGAACCATGAAAGCACTGGACTCTTCTATGCTTCTTTACCTTCTAAAAAGCCCTGAGAGAAAGCTCTTTCGGCATTACAGATCCAAAGCAGTCATAATGTACTCGGTCTGCAAATTCTAAGTTCACTGTCAAGACAGCACAGCTAAATATGTGTAATGATTAACAACAGTGAAACAGCTAGTAAAGATCAGTCAATCGTTCCTATATTACAAATGTTAATAACAAAAATTGCTGTCATTTCTGCTTTAACCAAACTAACACAAAATATTCACAAGGACTTTAAAAAGCTTAGCTACTTCATTCAGAGGAGGCAGAAAGTACTTAAGAGGACAATTAAAATTCAACCGTTAGACATTCCTATTAGATAGGAATGCATACCCTGCAGACAGCATATAAATGAAATGTTACATTACACAACAAAAAAGGCCAAAAAAGCCTTTGAATTATACAAAAGGTAGAATTTCATTTCCTTCAAGTTTGAACAGATCTGTAAGTTTAATCTGGGCAAGTCCTGTTTGAGCAAAATTAAAGAAAACTACCCGTGATTACATGTAACACGTTAGAGAGGTCTAATACACTGTATGTATACACATTTTACAGTCAATTCATCAGGTGGGACCTCCTACTGAAAAGGAAACTAAATGCTAGTCATTGTAATGCTACAACTAAGACTTTCATACTTGTTAAAAGATTTATTCTAATACCTTAGATTTAATTAAAAACTGGCATATGCGGTTTAGAGTAGGTTAACCACTGTCACTAAGAAAAACTATTAAAATACACACAAGTTCAGAGATTAAAGTAACAATCACTGGTTGTTATTTAAAACCATAAGCCCTGCCTACTGATTTGACTGGGCTGATAGAGCAAAAACAGAAAATAAAATATTTCTATCTCCTGCCAAAAAAAGCCTAGGGCAACATTTTGAAATTCATCTTTGCAGACCTCAAAACTCTCCCCTTTTACACTTGTTCCTCTCTTATGTCACATCCAGGACTCTCCAGCTGTCCCTGACAGCCCAGACCACTCCATTTTGCAGGGTGGGCAAGCTGTTTCCTTACAGGATCAGCGAGGAAAGGCTCGAGGCTTTGAGGGCTGACAACCTCTGTCACAACTTCCCACCTCAGCTGCTGTAATACAAAAAGCAGCCTTAGGCAACACCTAATAGAACTAACATGGCTGTGTCCTAATAAAGCTCTTTTTATGGACACCGACACTTAAAAGTCCACATAATTTTCACCTGTCGTGAAATTTTACTTGTTTTCCC